GGGGGGGGGGAGGGTGGGGGTGGGGTGCCCCTGCCTGGCCTCTTAATGAGCCTTGGCCAAAGAGATGGGAGCGCCACGGGCAGAGAGAGAGAAGAGGCAGAGACAGCCCGGTGCGGCTGCCTCCATCCCGGGCGAGGCCAGCCTTTGCGGAGAACCAGCCCCATCTGCAGCTGGATCCACGGGGCCCCCTCTGGGGCTTCCCCGCCAGGATCAGGCCACATGGATTCCCCCTGTTCTGGCTCCAGTGGGACCCCCTCCTCTTCGGGAAGGCTTCTCCTTCGCTTCCCTCCACCGGCTGCTGGTCTTCATAGAAAGGGGGGCCTTCTGGGGGGGGCTCTCCCCATCCAGGGTCCCCCGTGGTCCCCCCCCCTTCCTTGCTTATGGGAGCTCCTCTGCCCCCCCTGCTGCTTCGTGGCCCTGCCCTCGGTCGCTGCCTGAGTGAGCTGCAGTTGAGGGGCAGCAGGTGGAAAGGGGGGAGGGCAGCCCTAAAATGTGTGTTTGTGTGTGGGGGGGTGTCCAGACCAGTGAGAAAGATGGCGGGGGGTTTGGGGGGGTGTAGAGGAGGCAAAGCACCCTCCCTCCTTGCTCTAATGGGCATTTGAGTAGCCTTCCTCCCATTCGTCCATGGAGGGAGGTGAAGAGCGCAGAGCATCGCAGGGCTGGGAGGGCCCTTGGAGGTCTTCCAGTCCAACCCTCTGCTCCAGGCAGGGGAGCCTTCTCTTCTTTGAAGTCCAGCAGCCAATGGGGGCCGAAGGGTGGGCTGGCCAGCTCCCAGCTTGGGGGCAGCTCTTGTCTTTATATGCCGCCCCGATGGCCTTCTCTCTCAGCTGACGGAGGGGGGGGAACCTTCTCTCTAAGCAGCCGCCGATCCAGGGGACGCTGAGATTGGAGGATCCAGGCAGCCGACCGCTTCCCCTCCAGCAGCAACACCTGAGGTGCCAAAGTAAGAGACCCCTGTGAGGGGGGAGGCTGAATGAGGACTCCTGGTGGGACCCCTTCGCCTCCGTTTCCCTCAACCCCTCCCCCTACTTCATTCCCCCCCCCCTTCCACGCCCAACTCCAAAGTCACCACTTGTGGTTTAGCTTCCGGGTCTGGGGGGCAAATGAGAGGCCGCAGGGTGCCTTTGTGGTCCTTTTTCCAGCCCCCCCACCGGAGAAGCCGCCCCCACGGTTCCGGCTGGGAGTTTCCAGTACTCTGCGCTCAAGGCCATCCCGCACTCCCACTTCCAGCAGAGGAAGGACTGGTACGAGAACACCGACCAGGACCTGCGCGATTACGTGGTGCAGAGGCTGTGAGTGACCCNGGCGGGACCCTCCTGGACAAGAGGGCTGGAGCTGGGGGGGGGAGCTGGGGCAGGGGAGAAGCTGTAGGCGGGAGGGTGGGGGGAGGGTGGGGAGTTGGGTGCCTTGCGCGTTCCCGGGCCCCCTAACCGTAATAAATAAGGGGGTGCTCTCGCCTTCTCGCTCTCTTGCAGGAGAGGCAGCTTTCCGCCGTGGGTGCAGCAAACCCGCGTCTGAGCGGCGTTATGGGTCCGCCCTGGAACGGGATCCTACCCGGGCAACCGCCTCCGCTCCCGCGACTCCAGATCACGGAAAATGGAGAGTTTCGCAGCACCGCGTCTGAGCACTAGCGACTGCCCCCTGCCTCGTCCCGGCCCCCCACCAGCCGGCGGGCAGCCGTGGGGCGGTGGGTGGGGCGGGGGGCTAGTCTGGAATCTCACGCCGGGGGCCGGGGAAGGGTCCGGAGGCATTCAGGGTGTTTTATAAGCAGGACAGAGACGACAATCTTACCTACCCCTCGTGACCGCCCGTTCTTGGACAGAGCCGTGGACGGTGCCTCCCCCTCCCCTCCTCTCCCCCGTACTTCTCAGGAGTGGCATCCCTCCCCCCCCCGACTTTCTCCCCCCCTCCCGCCTGGCAGCAGGGACTTTTCTGAAGGCAGCGGCGGAAGGGGGTCCCTCGCCCTCCCCTCTGCCTCCCCTGCCCCCCAACCTCTGCGCTGCTGGGGGAGGACGCATGGCCTGGGGGAGGGCAGGCTGGTCCCAGTTCCCCCCTTCGAGCCCTCTCCTCAGCCGGCCGCTGGGACGGTTGGGGGTCTCTCCCACGCCTCCCCGGGGCCCATGAGGGCGGGGCAGGGCGCAGGGGGCCTCCCTCCTCAAGAGCACCGCAAGGTCTGCCCCCTTCCGCCCCCCCCCCAAGGAATCTGCCCCCTTCTCTGACAAAGGGCTTCGCCTCTCTGTACAGCATCCCCCCCCCCCCCCGCCTTCCCCCCCCCCCCCCGCCTGGCAGCAGGGACTTTTCTGAAGGCAGCGGCGGAAGGGGGTCCCTCGCCCTCCCCTCTGCCT